GGCAGGGTGCTGAGCTGGTTCCTCCGAACATTGAGATCCCGCAGGGAAGGGAGGCTGCACAGCTCTGTGGGGAGGGACTTCAACTCATTGCTGCTCACATCCTGGAATAAGAAAAAAGTAAAAAGGAACCACAAGGCCAGGAGCATCAGAAACTGTCTTCTGTCTCTGGCTACCTCCTCTAGTCTTAGGGTTTCCCCTAGGACACATCCTGCCTTTCCTCAACCTCTCCCCCGAAAAGGCCCCTGGTGCCTGGCTCTAGTCATTCTTCTCGCCCTGCTCCTCATTCTCACAAGTTGCCGCAGGCTTCCCAAGGTGCTGATGTCAGGAGGCAGGGCTCCTAGTTTGTTGTTGCTGACAATGAGCACCCGCAGGGGCAGCTGGCAGATGTAGGATGGCAGCGATGACAACTGGTTTCGGCTGCAGAAGGAAGAGAGGCAGTGGGCTCACTCCCAGGCAGAGCACCCCAGTGTGGCCCTCCACGAAAGGTCAACAGGAGGGGAACCCAGCATCCTGCGCACTGAGGCTTGGGGCTGAGAAGGATAAGCTGTACCCTCCCCTGGCTCTGCCTCCCTACCTGAGGTTGAGGTAGGTGAGGGCTGTGAGATTCCCCAAAGCTGGATTCAGGCATCTCAAGCAATTGTGGTACAGGCTCAGGCCCTCCAGGGACACCAGCTGACACGCTGCCTCTGGCACCTCAGGGAACCGGTTGCGGGACAGGTCTAAGAGAAACAAGAGTCAGGGGAAAGCTGTGGAGATGTCCAGCCTGGACAGAAACACTTTGATCTTCTCCAGAGCCAGATGCCCAACCCTCTACCTGCCCAGCAGACCTAAAGAATCCGGCCTATAAAAATGGGCTACCTGGGGAGAGAACAAAGCCTTCTGCAAACTGGAGCACATTCCAAGCATGACCAGAGTGACAAAGGGAAGGCAAAGGCCTTAGGGTCACTGCTCTGGAGAAGCCCCAACTTGGAGGGGAGTGCAGACAAGCCATGAATTCTATCTTCAGACAAATAAATGAAGGGCTATCCTGAAAGGGTGGCTGGATTCTATAACTCTTGTGGTTCCTGTTGCTCTGTGATGCCAGGAGAGGTGGAAGACAAAGGTCTCAGGAGAGTGCTAGTGCTCAAAAGAAAGTAGCAGGGTGGTAAGAGCTGGGAGGCTCAAGGTAAGAATAGGGACAGCCTCTGGAGACCACTGAGAAAGCCCCCTTCCTCAGGAGCCCTGTCTCCCAGCCTCAACTTGTTTTCAATGCAGGGGAAAAAACCACAGGTCATTAAAGCCTGGCTCTAGAGTTAAGGCTCCCACCACTGGACAACAGCTTTTCACCAGTCCCTGGGATTAGCAGCCAGGTCCAAGGGTCTGTGAAGTAACAGACTCCCCAGGACCATGAAGGAAATCCAAGTCAACCAAGCTGGAGGTGGGAGCTACAGTCCTCTGGTCCAGGCACACTTTCTTCAGGACTGGCTCATTCCCACCCCCTTACAGCTCTATCAGCCCTCCTCTACTTCCTCTCTTCCTGCCCCAGGCTTCAAGCAATCACCTCCTTTGCCTTGAACACAAAGTCTAGTGGAGAGGGTGGGAAAGAGAGTAGAGTCTATGACTGCCTCCTTAACTCAAGTGGTGGCTTGCTAGTCCAATGCAAAGGGTCAGGCATTTGGGTTCCCACCGGTCTGGAGGCACTCACTGCTTAGACTTTTATGCTTGGCCTGTATTGGGAGGAGCCTGGGGCCTGCTGGGGGAAGTTCTACGCAGCAGTACTTGGGTGAGCTTCTTAGATGGCCCTCCAGAGGGAGGAGTGAGCAAAGGCTGAGAGGAGGGGAAGCTGGGGTATATCCTCCAAGGAAATGGGTCTTGTGACAGGAAATGAAGTAGAAACAATCTGTCAGGTACTGTCTCTGGTGGGGCCTGTTTGCCAGGGCAGATGACAGCCTGATGCCCCAAGAATTGTTCTCTCCCTTTCTGCTCCCAACCCGGGCACACACAGGCCTGTCACACGAGAAGGCAGAGGACCAGATGCAGGACCTGGAGAGGGTGGGAGGACCAGATGCAGGCTTCCTTCTCTCATCTTCCACCTTCCCACTTTCTTTGCATCCACCAAATGTGTGTGCACACATATGTATGGATGAAGGAGGAGGAGAACAATTTATGATGGGGTAAGCAGGTGGTGGGGGGCAAAAGCCAGGAGCGGAAGGGAGCCCAAGCAGGAGGAGGCAGAGCACAGGAGGCACAGGATGTGGTCTGTGAGAGAATGAGCTACACTTCTCCTTTGTGAGGGTTGCCCCTCCTCCCATCTCAGGAGTCATCCTACTATCAGGCACCAGGGATGCAGCCCAAGGGATATGAGGGACCTGTGCCATAGGAAACATGCATGGAAAACACTGGTTCAGAAAGTACTGGGAAAGCACGAGAAGGATCAAAATGATTCTGGCAGCAGAGTGGAGATGCTTTTAGTCTGGGTTGGAGGGCAAGGAGGTGTGGAGGGCAGGGTACGGGCAATGCTGACTGTGTTTTTGTCACTTCCTCTTTCCACCCCAAGCTATAAGCACCCTGCTTGAGGAGAGGGGACAGAGAAGAGAGATATGGACAAGATAGGTCCCACCTGGCCTAGAACCTGGGTCCTCAAAGGACTGAGGATTCCTGTGTGGAGAGCAGGGCAGAAAGGGTTTCTCAGAAAGCAAGAATTTTCCCGCTTCACTACACAAGCTCGCTTGCAGGAGAACTGGCTGCACCCTGAGCCGGAATGCTGGGGGAGGAGGGGGGCGGGGGGGAGAGCTGGGAGGATCAGGGAGTTCTTGGTAGTTTTCCCCAGGAGTCCACTCTCAGAGACAGAGCCCTAAGGAAGTGAAGAATAACATTTGGTCTTTGTCAAAAAACAAGCAAGGGGGAGGGGAAAGAGAACAGACATCGAGTGTCACACAGCTGCTGAGGTCAATCTGGAGCTTGGGGGTTAGGCGGCTGGGGGAGATAGAGAGGATGGCTCCTGGCGCTCACCCATTCATTCCCTGAACTCACTCACTGCATAGTGGGCAAGTTCATTTACCCAGAAACCCAAGAAAAGTGGGAAAGTTAAAACTGGTTCTCCGCAGGACAGCGGGGGAAGAGAGTGTGTCTGTGCCCACTGGAGTGTTTGCAGGTAAGCAGGCACCTGCTAGGGGAGAAATGCAGTCCCAGGGCAGTGTGAACAGGAGGACACTCATCCAACCCCTAGTCCCACCCTGGGCTAGGCTGGGGTGGGGCAGCGGGAATGCAGTTCTCCTCCCTTCTTCCAATCCAGCGCCCCCCCCCCACACACACATACAGCTGCCAGCCCAAGGTCACAGGTTGTCTCCAGAGCAGCTGAGGCCTGACTCACCTGTCATAGTAGAGTCCCCCAAACCCCACCACCAACAGACACCAGGGTGGAGGAAGCACGATTAGAGGGATCCTGAGGGTGGGGGAGTGGAAGGATAGTCAGACAGTCTCTAGGTTTCCAGCACTCCTAGCAAGAAGATAAGATTTCCTTCCTTTTAGCAACTGTCTCAAGTCTCTTCCCCTGGGGAAAGCAGAAACAGAAATGGGAATTCTAGGGTCCCTATGAGGTCACAGGCTCCATAGTGACCTCATATATGCAGGAAGGAGGAGGAGTCTCAGATAAGGGGGACAGGAATAATGAGCGGAAGAGTTGGGGAGAAAAGAGGGAAGGTGGAAGATTTGCTTCTTTCCCATAGGCTGGCTGAGCGAAGAGTGGAGAGGGCCAGAGATCTCAGGGGGCGGGACTACAAGCAAAGTAAGCAGAAACAGCAGGTTGTTCGGGACAAATCCAAGGAAAGGCGCCTTAAGTCTTCTCGGATCTCGGTGGAACGGGAGAAGTTTCAGACGAAGTAGGAGAGAAAGAAGTCATTAGAGGGGTTCATGGGGGCTGCTTTATGGAACGATCAGAACTGAGGTTGAAGAAGCCATGTAAATAAGCCAACCAGGTGAGGGGCGGGGTCATTCTACAGGTGCGCCAATATGCAAATAAAGAGAAGCGAAGGGCGGGCATCTCACAACATTCGGGCAGGAACAAGGGGCTTTCCGAGCAAACGAGACACGGATTCATTGTCTAGTAGTTCTTCAAGCGGGGAGTGGGTAGTAGCAGGCTTATGCAAATCAGCAGAGTCGAGAACACCGACCGCCAGGTGAAGGGCCAGACTCCAGGGCCAGGGGAGTAGCAAGAGGAGGGGCGGGGATATGCAAATGAGGGTCTCAGCTGGGCTCTTGGCCGGGTGCACTCACCAGCCTGGGTGATGTCTGACAGATCATAGCTGCGGGCCGCGCCCCGGGGGAAGTGCTTCAAGCGCCGGTTAGACAGGTTCAGGGTCCCGGTAGCGACGGCCTCCTCGAGGGCCCGCTCTGCACTGCGGCTCCCAGGCAGACCCGGAGACCCTGGAACGGAGTTTGTGGCCGCCGCCTCCTCACCCCCGGGGGCGAGTGGGGCCGCTACCGCCGCCGCCATCCGCTCCCGGCGGCTACCGCTGCCTGACTGACGGGACCGGCCGTCCCTTCTCTCCCGCCCCCCCTCCTTGGAGCCGCCGTAGTGGCTTCAAGGGGGAGGAAGTGGGCCCAGAGACCAGGTGGACCAATCGCCGTCCCTAGACGCGTAGGAAGTGGCTAATCAGAACCCGCCCGGGGGTGGAGACTCCCGCTACGGAGTGAGGCGAGAGAAGGGAGGAGGACTAGAATTGAGCTCTCGCCAACGGCCGACGCTTCAACCTGGCTCGCCCGGTGCGGCCGCATCCAATCGCACTACTTAGGGCTGGAGATAGAGCCAATCAGGTCCAACCAGGAGGCGGGGACGCCAGCGCTCAACTAGGAGGGATAGGGGCAGAGAGACCGCAAGGCCGGGGCGCCTGGTCCTCCTCTAATGAAGACCAATCGCAAGCCAGATTACACGCGAGTGACAGTCAAGAAAGCCAGTTAGATCCTCTGGAGGGAACCTGGCCCGACCTCTTCTCTGAGTAACGGATCTACCTACCAATAGCATGTGCGAGAAGGCGGTCCCTTTGCTAAGGAGGAGGTGCGTGAGCTACAATTTAGAAATAAGACTGTGAGCGCTCCGCACGTTGGGGCTGGGAGCCTTGCGGGAGCAGTAGCGTGTGCGAAATGTGTTTTGAGGAGCGAGCCAGCGTTGAGGGCGTGAGGTAGACCGGAGAGTGGTAGGCAACGCCGAGACCGGTGCGCCGGGGGTCGTTAAGTGGAGGCCTTTCCGACTGCGGTGTCTGAGGCCCTGTGATGGTGTGTGGAGACCCTACGGGCGGCTTCCCAGAGCCTGAAGATGCCCGGCTCAACTTCTGGAGGGAGAGTTCCGGGAACCCGCGAAAGACTCAAGAGCTCCCACCCGGCCTACCAGCCCAGCCAGAGGAGGGCGCCGGGGCAGGAATTGTGTTAAGAAGACTGGAGGATTAGCCTAGAAGGGACCGTCTCTCATCTAGAAGTCCTCTGTTTTACAAATGTGGGAACTAAGGTGGAGGGAAGTGGTTGAGTTGACAAGAGCAAACAGCAAGGTGCTGACATCTTGCACTAGAGCCCACTGCATCACCTTTTAGGGCGGGCTTTTTCTGTTCTCACCCTCTGCCTCCTGGGGTGAAATGGAGTGAATAAAGGGGACCCAGAAATGAGAGGAAGCTGACTATGCTTTTTCTGTCTGCGGAGAGATCTAACACCTTTTAAATGGCCTGAGAACTTAACGTAGCCCACTTAGTATGTTAGTAGTTATCTAACCACTCACATAAATCACATCTCACATGTTGACATTCCTAAAGATTTATTGAATTATTAAAATTTCACCCTAGCCCTAGCTGGTGTGGCTCAGTGGATTGAGTGCCGGCCTGCGAACCAAAGGGTTTCCTGTTCAATTCCTAGTCCAGAGCACACACCTGGGTTGCAGACCAGGTCCCCAGCTGAGGGTGTCCCAGAGGCAACCAGTTGATGTATCTCTTGCACATCAATGTTTCTCTTCCCCTCTCTCCTTCTCTTTCCCTCTCTCTAAAAATAAATAAATAAAATATTTTAAAATTTCATCCTAGGTAACTCAGACCAGCTGTTTACTAGTCACCGTGAATAAGAGAGTTTGATTAGATGAGTCTGTTAGCCCAATAAACCAAGTCTGTAATGCTGTGCAGCTCAGGGCTGGCTGACCTGGACCAGATTCCTTTGAGCCCCTGGAAGAGCCAACTACTCCTTGGATTTATTGGTGCAGATCTGCCCCGACGTGGACTGACACAACCCAACTCCTGTTTCTCCTCATAAATATCACTATCCCCCATCCCCCTCCCCCCATACCCGTAAGACTAAGTTTTAGACTCTGGGAGATATCCTAAGCTTTCAGAGTAAATCTAGCCTTTTCTTCCACCGTAATAGTTTGCTCTTCATACATACAGCAATGTTATTGCCCCAGGAAAGCAGTTTGCTTTTGGGTGTATTTTTCATAAGACTAAAGAGTTTGTGTTAAATTGTTCCTACTTTAATTTGGTGCATGCTTTTGTGAGACAGATAATCATTAGCAGGGCCACTACCCATCTCACCCGTCAAACTGAGTTATTTCTGTGTGTGTGTGTGTATGTGTGTGTGTGTGTGTGTGTTTATACTCGAGCTACAAATCCTATGTGTGTGTGTGTTTATACTCGAGCTACAAATTCTCTGGAGGCTCTGGCCTGCTGAGATATGAAGAATTTACCAGGGTTTCTCTACAGAGTTAATGCTATAAAGGCCTCAAGTGGAAGAACCTAGTGCTCCCTGAAAGTAAAGGCCCCATCAACCAGGAGTTCACACACTATTTCTCCTGTAAAATGCATATGCCAAGCCATTGGGAGGCCAGAGCTGAGCCAGAACTGAGGAGCTGTCTGAGAGAAAATCCCCAGCAAGGTTGGGGAAAATAGGTCACAGTGGCTAGGCAGTGAGGTCACAGAGAGGTTTGTCTGCCCCAGACTCCATGTGGGAGGGCCTAGGAGGCAGAGGGGCCCCAGAGGTCCCCCAAGCCCAGGCAGGGGACATGGTGTGGGAAAGGCAGCAGGGACTGGGCCCAAGATGGGTGCCAAGGGGCCCAGAGAGATGAGAACAGGAGCAGGGAGGGGGCAGTCAGGATGGTGAGGAAAGGCCTGAGACACAAGCTTCAAAAATTCGCAGGGCTGTGCAGATGAGAGGAGGGGCTCAGGGTGAGGGGTGGAGGCAAGGCAACGGAAGGGCAAGAGGATAGCAAGGTATCTGGGGAGGGATTACTTGGAGAAGTTGGACCAAGGAACAGGGTAGACAGGGAGGGGTGACCCATGAACCTAGCGAGAAAGATGGGAGGATTTGACAGCACTGAGCTGGAGGATAGAGCTATGAGCCTCGAAGACAGTAGTTAATGAAAGACTGAGAGAAGGAAGAAAAAGAAAAATGATCCTCATGTGCTCCCTGTGCTCCCCTTTCTTCTTGGGTAGGTGAAGCGGAGCTGCCCTTCATGTGGCCCAGAGCCTGGGGGTGAAGAGAAGAGGGGGAGAGGGAACCCTATTTCTGTTCAGTTGTTCCCCCCAGAGCTGGTGAGTCCTTGGGGAGGGGGAAGTATTAAGAATAAAGGACTAGGGGCCAGACCACTGAGGGGCCCCCAATGACCCCCGCTTCCTCCCTCCTGTCCTCCCAGGTGGAACACATCATCTCATTTCTTCCAGTAAGAGATGTAATCGCCCTAGGCCAGACCTGCCACTACTTCCACGAAGTGTGCGATGCTGAGGGCGTGTGGAGACGCATCTGTCACAGGCTCAGTCCTCGACTACGAGAGCAGGGTTCTGGAGTCCGGCCCTGGAAGAGAGCTGCCATTCTTAACTGTACACCTTCCCCAGAACCTCCAGTTCTCTTTGCCTCTGTCCTATCTTATTCTGATCCATAAGGTTGCCTGATGACCTCAGCATTCCCAGCCAGCCTTCCAGGGCCCCTTTTTCTGGAAAAAACTTATTAGATTCAAACATGCCATTGAATAATTCAAGTCTCTAGAGCTGCCTTCTGATGGCTCTAGATGTTCCACCCAGAGCCCTCATTACTAGCATCCCTGCCATGTCTCCTTTCAGGTTCAAATTGTCTTCCAAATCTTACCCTAGAGACATCTTCCACTCCCCAAACCTCAAATTTGCCCTCCTATAAACCTGGATTTCTCAACATTGTGACTACTGAAATTCTGGACCAAATAATTCTTTCAAGTGGGGGACTGTGCATTATAGGATGTTTAGCAGCAACCCTGGGCTCTACCCACTAGATACCAGTAGCACCTCCTTCAGGTGTGACAACCAATGTCCCCTGAGGGATAATCTCCCTCAGATTAAGAAACATGCTCTAAACCCCTCCTGCCTATCCTCTTACTTCATCTCACATGTTACAGATTAAGGGAGATCCAGATAGCAGATCCAGAACTAGGAGTAAAGGGGGGTTACTGGTCTTTCTGAGTCAGTCCTTTTCACTCCCCTTTCTTCTTCTCTCCTCTGCTTCTTTTCTATATATTATTATATTTCCCTTGATGTCTCTGATACAAGTTTGGACCAAAGAAGTACTCATTTAGAAGCATGTTTATGGCCCTGGGCTGAGGTGGGCCAGAAAACTAACATTCAGACATCGGGTATAGTTGAGGATATCCTTTAAGTTTTCCATGTGTCCTTTGGAAGGGGTCTGCTTCCCAGTCCTGGGGATGGAGAGGAGCTAAATACCAGGATGTCTGAGAAATCTTGTTTGCCCAAGCTCTGATTCATCTCCCTTGTGTCATCCCAACCCCTTGAACTTTTCATATCCTTTTTCTACAGACACGAAAGGCCTGTATTTCCAGGCATTTGGGGGCCGACGCCGCTGTCTCAACAAGAGTGTAGCCCCTCTGCTAGCCCATGGCTACCGCCGCTTCTTGCCCACCAAGGACCATGTCTTCATTCTTGACTATGCGGGGACTCTTTTCTTCCTCAAAAATGCCCTGGTCTCCTCCACCCTTGGCCAGATCCAGTGGAAGCGTGCCTGCCGCTACGTTGTGTTGTGTCGAGGAGCCAAAGATGTGAGTAGCAGAACTCTGCAGCTAAGAACCCACCCAACCTCCAGGGACCCAGTGCCCACACCAAATTGCCTTCCCATAACCAAAACTGAAAACCAAGTCCCCATTTCGCAGCTCTGTACCCAAGTGTCTCATCTCCCATCCCAGCCTCATCCCACTCCAAGCCCTAGCTCCCAGATACCTTTGTCTTTTTCTACAGTTTGCTTCAGACCCAAGATGTGACACAGTTTACCGTAAATACCTCTATGTCCTGGCCACTCGGGAACAGCTGGAGGTGGTAGGCACAACCAGCAGCCAGGCCTGTGACTGTGTCGAGGTCTACCTGCAGTCCAGTGGGCAGCGGGTCTTCAAGATGACCTTCCACCACTCCATGAGCTTTAAACAGATTGTGCTGGTTGGTCAAGAGACTCAGCGGGCTCTACTGCTCCTCACAGGTGTGGCTTCAAGCAGTGGTTTGCAAATTGTTTTCTGCAGATTCTTCAGGACCTACGGCAGGGAATGAGGAGGGAGACCGCTCACACAGGGTTCTGCAGGCCATCTCTAACCAAATAGCTGTTTTTGTCTGTTCCTAGTCTAAGGTTACGCATATTTCCCAAGAGTAAAGGGCCCTGCTTTCAGTTCTAATCTCTCCAACCTCCATTCCAGGCATCTCTTACTCCAAACTGTCCCCCTATTTTCTCAGTGTTTCCTGTGCTTGACCACACTCCCAAGCCTGAGACCTTCTGGACTTCTTAATGCTATGTAGGGCCCTGAGTGCCCAGACATCATTCCCAACATTCAGACTGGACTATGCCAAATCTACTAGGTTTTCTTTTCACTGAAGGACTTCCTGACTTATTTTTGGTGGTAAGGGGCTGGAATCTGGAAAACTTGAGGTCACACTTTCCTTATGTCATCTCTACCATTTTTCTACCAACCCCACTCTAGGACAGTAAACATTTCACCCTGTGTGGTTTAGGGTGGTCTCTTGGGAAGTTAACGTGGACATTGGAGGGTTCCCCATATAATCATCTGCTCCCCCGTCCCCCAGAGGAAGGAAAGATCTACTCTTTGGTAGTGAATGAAACCCAGCTGGACCAACCACGCTCCTACACAGTACAGCTGGCCCTGCGGAAGGTGTCCCGTTGCCTGCCTCACCTGCGTGTGACCTGCATGGCTTCCAACCAGAGCAGCACTCTCTACATTACTGGTAAGAACCGCCTCCCTTCTTCTCCAGACCTAGCCTTGGGCAGATCTTCCAGATACAGACACCACCACCCCCAATCCTTATTCTAGCTCTGTGGCGGACCCCTAGGCACCCATGTAAAGAGATGTTGTTTAGGTTCCCGGATGTCATCGCTGGTGCATTTTTAGTGGGCGTGAAACTCCCTGGATCTTGTAGTTTTTATCCAACATGGAGCCTTATCCCTAGGAAATGGGTGCCCAAAGCTGCTGAGCTAAGGGCACCCAACCCCCCCAGACCAGGGGGGAGTATATTTTGAGGTGCATACCCCAGGGGTGTATCGTGATCTCTTTGGGACTCTTCAAGCCTTTGACCCCCTGGACCAGCAGATGCCACTTGCTCTCTCACTGCCTGCCAAGGTAGGACCCTGGAGGGATGGGGCAGATCAAAATTGGAAGGGCTTTAGGGATTGAAAAGTTCTGAAAGTCTGAAATATGAGCAGGAATCAAACGATTGATTGGGGAGGGCCAGGGAAGCCAGAGAGAGGGGAGACATAAAGGGCAAGGCCAAAAGAGATCATCCGGGGATAGCAGGTTAGGGGCTGGAAGATTTTGGAGTTCAGAGTTCTTCTGGAGGGAACTAACTGCCCATCTCCTCTTTCTCTTACTCCCCAGGTCCTATTTTGTGCTCTTGGCTACAATCACCTTGGTTTGGTGGATGAATTTGGCCGAATCTTCATGCAGGGAAATAACAGATATGGGCAGCTGGGAACAGGGGACAAAATGGACCGAGGGGAACCCACACAGGTGAGTTCCTGGTAATTTCCATCCTGATCTACTTCCCCCAATTTCCTGACCCCTGGATCTCTTCACTTTTCCAATTTCCATAGAATCCATTTTGTCTACTCCCTAGGAAGTTAAGCCAACCAGTATGTAATGCCCTTCATATTTTGCATATCTTACCCAGGGTTGACACTATGAGGTTCGTTTTGTGCAGTGCCTGCTATGAGTGCAATAGGAACTTAGTGAAGCAGGAAGACCTAGATGGGCTGGAATAACAAGAAGAGGTGAGATGTGAGCAGGGCCTAGTGGGTTAGATAGGATTCAGGTGAGGATAGGGAAAGACATCTGTGTAATGGAGATGAAGACAAAGCTTGCATATGTCTGGGGCAGTGAAAAGACTGGCCTGACTAGAAGAAAGAGAGTATTTTGTAAATGGGTAGTATGAGGTGATATAGGTGGGCATGAGCTTGGAGAAGTATAGATATGGGGAAGAGCCATTTTGGGTTCTGGAGCAGGAGAAGGCACCCCACAAAGATTACTGAGAATGGGTTAACCAGCTGGAGTGTACAGGAGGCTGCGAATGGGAAGCCCACTGGGACGCTATCGAGTAACAGCAGCACTGGAGATGTGGGCCTGGGGCTGTACAGTGGCAGCAAGAATGGAAAGAAATGGATATATGAGATGTTTTGAAAGAAAATGAACAGGCCCTGGAAACTGATTAGATGTGAGCAGAGGGGTGTAGGACAAAGGTGGCTCTGACAATAGTTCCCTTGAAGAAAGATGATATCAACAACAAATGTGTAAGTTGGTGATGCTGCTTTGAGGAAAGAGCGTGAATTTGGACTTTTTTACATAGAGAGTAGAACAGTAAAGTGGGATTATCTCGCTGGCAGTTTGGGTCCAAGATGGAACAAGGTTGAAATGACAAAAGTAGAGATAGAGGAGCAAACCTGGAGGCACCATTATAGGCAGAGGGAATGGAGAAGTTGTTACTGACACAGGAGGCACGCCCTCGAATGCCATGTCCCAGAAGCCATGTGCACAGGACGTTTCAAACAGGAGGGAGTGAGAATGTAGGGATATACTTCTCTGACATGGAAAAATGATCGTGCCATAGTTTTAGGTGAAAAAAACATGTGAAATGGTTTATACAGTATGATCCCATTTTTGTTTTAAAGACATCTTATAGTTGACCTTTGAACAATACAGGGCTTAGAGGCACCAACCCACCACATAGTCAAAAATCCACATATACCTTAAGTTGGCCCTCCACATATTTGGATTCCCAACCATGGATTAAAAATATAGTACACCCTCCAACAACACAGGCTTGACCTGCACAGGCCCACTTACACACAAATTTTTAAAACCCGCGTATAAGTGGACCTGCGCTTTAAATCTGGGCATAACTGGACCTGTGCAGTTCAAACCTCTGTTCAATGGCCGACTGTATACATTTGCATAGACAGCAGCGAAAAAGAATACCCAGCAAGGCGCTAATAGTGGGATTTCCAGTGGTTTTTAAATCAATGTTTGCTTGCCAATATCTTATGTTTCTATAATGCCCGTAAATTATTTATCTATATCTTTAAAATTAAAGCACTCACAGTGTCAGGAGAAAACATTGGCAGCTGGGAGGTCAAGTGCGTTTGGAGAACATGGCAGTAAGCACAGTAGGGAGAAAAGCCAGGTCACACGAAGGTTCAGGAAAGACTGGCTATGGTGAGAACAAGAATGTGGTCATCTCAGACTGGTCATGTAACCAGTTCTTCTGCCTAGAAAACAGAGGGTAGAAAGCAGCAGGAATCAGGAGGAAATGTTTTTTCAAAATAGGGCAGCCACTGGGAAAGATAATGTGAAAAACTGAAAATGGTAGAGAGGGGAAGTCCTTCCTGGAGGCTAACCTAGAGTTGCAAAGGAGAGATTGGGTCTTCAAGCCTTGGGAAGAGGAAGGGTATTCCTCACCCTGAGGCTGGAAGGCAGGATGAAAGGCTGGGCTGGTTGAAGCCTGTGGTGTGAGAATGAGAGAAGACAGCAGGCCCTGGCCTCAGGCAAATAACCTATTTTCTGGGAAGCAAAGGGCTTCCAACAAAAGAGCTAGACCCCATGTGGTCAGATTGGGGCTGCAAGAGAACCAATGAGGGAGAGATTGCTGCTGATCTTCATTCAGCGGGGCAGACCACCTGGGGAAAGTATGCTGGGTCCTATTTCTTGCCTCTCCTAGCTTCCCTAGATTCTGCCCTGAGCCTTCCTATCACCCTTCCCTGACTTGGGCCCCCAGTCGCCTGATGTTCCCGCCTTAGGAACCCTGGCCCTGTGTCCTCAGGTGCTTTATCTGCAACACCCCATTGCCCTGTGGTGTGGCCTCAACCACTCCCTGGTGCTGAGCCAGGGCTCGGACTTCAGCAAGGAGCTCCTGGGCTGTGGCTGTGGGGCTGGAGGCCGTCTCCCTGGCTGGCCTAAGGGGAGTGCCTCCTTCGTCAAACTCCATGTGAAGGTCAGAGTGAGCAGGATTAGGCCAGCGGGCAACCAGGGAGGGCAGGTAGCCCACAGGATTGTAGCTGGGGCTCCCGCAGGGACCCAGGGGCCCTGTGTCCCCAGCACCACCCGTCTACCTTTCCTGCCACGCACCATGGCTCCTGGCTCTTTTCCTTAGCAGATCCTGCTGGCCCTCTCTGACCTCATATAACCTCGGGGCTCAGGCAGCCAGTTCACTAGCTGGCTCAGGGCTGGTCTGAGGGGTGGGACCCCCTCAGTAGACGCCCACTCAGCCACACCCCTTCTTTCCGCCAAGGTCCCTTTATGTGCCTGCTCCCTCTGCTCTACCAGAGAATGTCTCTACATGCTGTCCAGCCATGATATTGAGCACCATCCTGCCTATCGAGACCTACCAGCCAGCAAAGTGGTGGGAACCCCTGAGCCCAGCCCACGGTCCGGAGTACTCCAGGACCCTGGGGGGACAGCTTGGGCCTGTAAGGAGTACCTCAACCAGATCCACAGTTGCTCCACATTGCAGGACCGCATGGCAAAGATGAAGCAGATCGTGGGCTGGATGCCTTTGATGGCTGCACAGAAGGACTTCTTTTGGGAGGCCCTGGACTTGCTACAGAAGGCTGCTGGAGGGGTTGGCCAAGGCCCTCCCAACCCCTGAGAGCTGACCCCTCCCCCACCCAGTCTCATCCCTTGAGGGGAGAGTCTGGCTCTGGGCCGAAGGCTAAGGAGAGATGGAGTGGTAGCAATGAACACTATGCATGGGGAGGGGAGCATCGTGGGGTGGGGGCTGCTAGACATGGCCAGGGTGGGGAGGGAACAGTTTTGTCAAATGTTCAGGGGGCTTCCCAGGAAGGGACCCCCAACCTTACTATCATGGACAAGAGATTTGATGGACAAATAGAATAAAAGGCTGAAGTAAGGCCCAGTTTGGAACCCTGGGGCCTGGGAGGACACTGGGGCAAGAGGACATTGGCGTGCCCGATGCCTGGCTCAGTGGGTGAGGAGGGCGGGCAGGAGCATGGACAGGGGTAGGCACAGCAGAAGCTGCTCAAGCTTTCAGGCTCTGCAGAGCTGGCAGCACCTGATCCTTCCGTTTGCTTTCCTCTTCCACTCCCAAGACCTGACCCAGCCTTTTGACTGGAAATGCTAGCTCTGCCTTCTGGAACAACTCAGGCAACACATGCCACTTAGTACCCCCACTTGGATCCTCTTATTCTCATCCAGAGGAAACCACATCTGACTTCAGAGAGTCTTCTCTCCATTTTCCTTCATTCCCATGAAGTGAACCTCCCTCCTCTCTGGCTTCTGTTTACCATCCAGGTCTGGTCTCACATGTCCTTTTCCCCTCCTTCCTCCTCTGCCCTCCTCTTCCTCCAGAAGGGAGACAGTCCCTTTATCTACATGGCTTGCCTCCCTGCCCCACTCCTGTACCTCCAGATAATTTGGGAGCAAATGGGTGAGCAGAATTCTTTTCTCCTAGGCCTACTCTGGCCTGGGGATACAGAGAAGACAGTGGAAATTTGAAGTGGAAAATAAGTTGGAGCAGGTGGTAGTCAGGAAGTGGGTGAATGCTTAAAGGTTGGGAGTCCAGGAAAAGACGTCCTCTGGATGCTAAGGAAGCAGCAATGGAGAGGATCATGAGTGGACTGGAGAGTCCTCGGGAAGGACTAGATGCTGTGTTCACAGGATGCTTGGGCACTGGACAGAGAGGGCTTCCAGATGGCATCACTTGATGCCTAGATTATGGCTGAGGGCTGATGCTCCCTCCGCCCTTCATTGCTCCACCCACTACTTAGGTCAGTATTTATGTGTCCTGTACCTAGAGAGGCCCCAGGACTCACTACTGTCCCGGCTGTACTCTCCCTGTCCCGCCTTCCCCACCGCCCTCCCCACTGGCCAGTCCCCACGCCCACACACCCGAGGCTGCCTCATCTGGCACCGATTATCCCTGCTGCTGCTGCTGCTGCTGCTGCCGCTGCCGCTGCTGCCGCTGCTGCTGCCGCTAAACTCAGCTGCTGCCTCTATCTTGAGGACATCAGTGCCTCCCCCCAGCCATGCTGCCTGCTGCCACAGCTTCCCTCTTGGGGCCCCTCCTCACTGCCTGGGCCCTGCTGCCTTTCGCCCAGGGCCAGACCCAGAACTACACCAGGTAGGTCTCTTGGCACCTTCCAGTTAGCTTGAGTTTCAAAAGTCAATTTCTGAGGAGTTATGCCTGTGGATCTTGTGGATTCTTTTGCTAACACATCACCCTGAGATCTCCCATAGCACCTACCCTTCTCTGGCCCCCAAGTCCGTCCTCCCTGCGCAAGACCACTGTCTCTTTCAGGACACCACTGCTCCCCATTTCTTCGACCTCTGTCCTCTGCCCACTAAGTCTCCCCCGTTCACCCAGACCCTTCCTTCCCACCCTGCCCCACCCCCATGGAACCTGAAAGAGAGCCAAGACCTGAACTTGCCTGGTAGCTGGACATCTGGATTCCAGGAAGGAATTAGAGATTATGGGAGAACCCAGGGGCAGCAAGTGGGAGACTTGGGAGTCAGACACTCAAGTAGTTAGCTGGAACAGGAGCACAGCAAAGGTTGGAAGCTTAGGGAGCCTGATCTCCAGGTTCAATTTCAGGCCCATTGCTGCTGCTTCTCAACACTCCTCCCCCTCCCCCGCACAGCCTCGTGGCTGTGTCTACATCTGGAAGTAGTTAGGCAGCTGCTGTGGACTGCCTGGCAGTGCAAGGGCGGTGGGGGTGGGGGGGGTAGGGGGGGAGAGAATGAGGAAGGGGGGCTGAGGAGGATTCCCGGAATTCCTGTTGGGTTGGGGATGAGAACTGGGGATTGGAGGTAGAGCCAAGATGCTGGCCCCACTTTTTCCTGATCTTCTACTGCAGTGTTTCCCACCCCAATTCTATCTTGACTGGCTAAGGCCATCCCAGATCCCTTAGGCCTTTCTCCCTCATCCCCCAGGCTTCCCTCCTTGGCCTCTCCATCCTCATTACCCTACCCCAGTCTGTTCACTGCTCCCTCAGTTATGACTGACCCCTTTTCTGTCCTCCAGACCTGTGTTCCTGTGCGGAGGGGATGTGACTGGGGAGTCAGGTTATGTGGCAAGTGAGGGTTTTCCCAACCACTACCCCCCGAATAAGGAGTGCATCTGGACAATAACGGTGAGAAGGCCCCTCTGGTCACTACCCCTTGTCAAAGTCTCCAAAGCCTGAATTCAGGCAGCCAAATGTCCTGCCCCAGGACCATCACTTCTCCCTGGGGAAATTCAAGACCGCCCCCCCCATGTCCTCCGGCTACTGATGGCATCAGTGTCCACAATAATACGTGGCAAGTGTCCTTACTCTTAACCCTTAATTCAAAGCCTGTTATTCCATTCCCAACTTCATTCCTGTCCCCTGCAATCTCTCCACAGGCCTCAAGTCTTGTCCCCTGCACAAGCCAAAAGCCTGATGCTGAGTCCAGGCCCTCTGCTCTGTACCCTGATGGGATCCCTTTATGTTCAGACCCAAGTTTCTCTAGGAAATGCTTGGGGAAAAGGAAGTGCCCTCTGCCTGGGTTGTATATAACCTGATTTTGTGGGTCGCCACCCCTGTCTCTGCGATCAGGTCCCTGAAGGCCAGACTGTGTCCCTCTCCTTCCGAGTTTTTGACCTGGAACTACACCCCGCCTGTCGTTATGATGCTTTGGAGATCTTTGCTGGGTCTGGAACCTCGGGCCAGCGGCTTGGACGCTTCTGTGGGACCTTCCGGCCAGCGCCCATAGTCGCCCCGAGCAACCAGGTGACCCTGAAGATGACAGCAGACGAGGGCACGGGAGGACGAGGTTTCCTGCTCTGGTACAGCGGGCGGGCCACCTCCGGCACTGGTGAGACCTCCCTCACCTTCGCATTCCCCCTCTCCTGGCCCCACCCCGGCACATGCCCGGCCCCCAGCCTTAACCTCCACCCCATGAGCTTAGGTCCCCATTGCCTCCCTTTCCCTTTTTCCTCACTAACTGCCCCTCCAGTCCCTCCTCCCCGTCTTCTCTCCCCTCTCCTGCTCCCACCCACCCCCTCTTCCAGGCCCCACCCCAGGCGCAAGGCGGAAATGGGTCACCGACCCGCGGGTGGAATGGGCGGCCTGGGGTTACTGGGACGGTGAGTAACTGCCTGCCCCCGTCCGCAATCGGGCTCCCTCTGACAGGCGCAAGGGGTACCCCCAGGAAGGGGGACCAGGTTCCCCCGACCCGGAGCCCCCTACACCCAGCCCAGGGCTCCCGATTGCGGTCCCATCACCCTCTCCTGGCGGCAGAAGTCTCCCCTAAAATGTTTAAGGCGGGGACCTCCCAAAGGGGCCTAGGAGGCTATGCCCCAATTTGTGGGAACCCTCACAGCGTGGGGACTCCCCAGCCTGCAAAGGGGACTTCTCTGCCGGTGAGGGAGATGGGATCTACCAGGGGAAGAGGAACGGTGTGGCAGCGGGTCAAGGGGAGGGGCAAGAAGGGGCGTGTCTAGCCAATTCCTCCTTCCCCTTCCACAGCCCGCCTGGGCGCCAGGAGGTCCTAGACTTCCCTGAGCCTCGCTCCTCCTCTGCTAACTTACCCACCTCTTTCCTTCCCCCCTTCTCGCCCCCTCATCCTGAGACCCCGACATCCGACTCTCCTGCACGAGCTCCCAGCCTAGAGCTCTTCTCAAGCTGACCGAGGGTCTCCACTGCTCCCCACCCCCACTCCTCTCTCCCCTCCCCAGAGCACCAATTTTGCGGGGGGCGGCTGGAGAAGGCCCAGGGAACCCTGACCACGCCCAACTGGCCCGAGTCTGATTACCCCCCGGGCATCAGCTGTTCCTGGCACATCATCGCGCCCCCAAACCAGGTACTGACTCCCTCTCCGGGCTGCTCTCGGGGACCCGGGCGGCGTCCTCCAGCATGCAGCTAGCAAGAACATCTACTATGTCCTAAGCACTGAGCTTGTGCTGGTGGGGAGCAAAAACAGACCCAACGTGCTTGCATGCAAACAAAAAATGTAAAATTACACCTGTGACCAGCGAGGTATCTAATGCTGATAAACTGTGATGGTGTGCGTGGGGCGGGGGGGGGGGGGGGGGAGTGGTGGAGGAGGAAGAGGCGGAGGCGGTTGGGAGAGGCGGATTCTGGGTCTATTCCTTGAGATTGAGCCAGGACTTGATCTTCCCCACCGTGGCGAGGGACACCACTGAAGGGTTCTGGTGTATGGGATCCTCCAAGCTTCTGCGGTGTGAATGCATTGAGGGGGCGGGGGCCGAAGGGATGTGTGAGGAGGCTGCTGCAAGCATCCACCTGTGGATAGTAGGTGGAGGAAGTGAGAGGTACAGAGCAGCCTCTGCCCTCTGCCCTGCCATCAGGTGATCTCGCTGACCTTTGGGAAGTTTGACGTGGAGCCGGACACCTATTGCCGCTATGACTCAGTCAGCGTGTTCAACGGAGCCGTGAGCGATGACGCCAAGAGGCTGGGGAAATTTTGCGGAGACACAGCCCCGGGGTGAGGGGGTGGGACCTGGGTGGGTAGTAGGTCCTAGTGTCTCCACCTCCCCAGGTGCCGGAGTCCAACCCTGCTGCTGTTGGGAGGGGTGGAGCTTAGCTGAAGAGGCGGGATCTCTACCTGCCAGCCCCAAACCAGAGGGTGGGGCAGATAAGGTACCAGGCTCCGCACTAGGCCTGTGGTCCGTGGATACAGAGGCGAGTGGGGCCTACGACTACAAATTCGGGAATCTAATGCAGCCAACCAGGGAGCAGAGGTTAAAACGCCACTGGCCTGGGTAGAGGCAAGCTGCAGGCCCTTGACGCCTCCCCCAACGCCCCACCGCTGCCCGCAGTCCCATCTCCTCCGAAGGGAATGAGCTCCTCGTCCAGTTCGTCTCGGACCTCAGCGTCACAGCCGATGGCTTCTCAGCCTCCTACAGGACCTTGCCACGGGGCGCCGCCAAAGAAGGGCTGGCTGGGAACCCGGGGAAGGATGCCCGGCCAAGTCCGCCGCTCCTTGGCCCTGGCCCCAAGCCGGGAGCTGAGCCCAAAGTCAAGCCTGAACCCCCACCTGCGGAGAAGCCAAAAGCCTCGCCTGAGGCCGCGGCAACCCCCGTGGGCTCTGGTGAGTCTGGGAAGGGGAAGGAAGGGGATGCAGACTGAAGGAGGTGATTTAAAGAGTTCCTTCCTGGGCTCGCTCATTCATTCATTCATTCATTCATACAACACTCACTGGTGCCACCAGTGCTAATAATGGCTGGGTGCTGGGACCCAAAGCTGAATAGAACTCTGAACAAATTCAAAGCAATGAGGCTGTTACAGGGATAGTCCTTCCTACTTGCTGGGTAGGTCACCCTCCACAATGTCCCCTCCACCTCCTAGATGCACCCAGTGTCACCTGCCCAAAGCAGTGCCGGCGGACAGGCACCTTGCAGAGCAACTTCTGTATCAGCAACCTGGGTAAGAAGCCTCATTCACATGCTCTGCTCTCCCAGCTCCTCTAACTTCCCCTCCTGTCCCCAAAGTGCCCCCTCCTCTGATTCCAGCCCTGCCCTTGCCTCCTGTCTCACCTCTTGCCCTCATTCTCCCACAGTGGTGACTGCAACAGTCAAGTCCATGGTTCGGGGCCCAGGGGAAGGCCTCACTGTCACTGTCAGTCTCATTGGTGCTTACAAAACCGGAGGCCTGGACCTGCCCTCCACACCCACAGACACCTCCTTGAAGTTTTATGTGCCCTGCAAGCAGTGTCCCCCCATGAAGAAAGGTAATAAGGATGTGGGGTAGAGGAGCGGATATTTGGCCTCATGGAAATGATAAAGGTGGGGCTCGGATGAGAATGTCCACCTACAAGGTATGTAACATGAACTTTCAATCCCTCTTTCCCCTCCACCAGGAGCCAGTTATCTGTTGATGGGCCAGGTGGAAGAGAACAGAGGTCCCATCCTCCCTCCAGACAGCTTCGTGGTTCTCTACCGGCCCAACCAGGACCAGATCCTCACCAACCTCAGCAAGAGGAGGTGCCCCTCACAGCCTGTTCGGGCTGCTAGGTCCCAGGCCTGAAACCCAGGCCAGCCTTGGACTTTGGCTTTAGGGACCCATTTTTTATCCAAATATATGTTCCTTTACTGAGGAAGGGGTCACATACCTATTTCCATCGTTTTGGTGCCCATCTTGGCAATTTATTTTCATTCATTCATTAAACTCAACAGACATTAACTATACAGAATAATCTTTTAAGAACCTAAGTTGGATCTTGTCATGCCATTGCTCAAAACTCCCACACACCAAACACACACACACACACACACACACACACACACACACACGCAATGGTAACTATTTAGAGTTGATGGATATGTTATTGAGCTTGATTGAGGTGATTTTTTCACAATGTATACAAACTATCAGGTTGTAGACCTTAAATATACACAATTTTTATGTCAAAGATATCTCAAGGCTGTTAAAAAGAAATTTTAAACACTCTCCTATAGTTTTCCATCAGTCTCAGAATAAAACTCAAAGTCCTATTGTGGGCTCGAAGGCTCTAGATGATCTGCATCCTTTATCTCCCCTCCCCTCTTCTCCCTTAAGACCACCGTTCCAGTCACACTGGCTCCGTGACCATTTCTAGTACACTGGCTTTGGCCTGTGCTATTCCCTCTATCTGGAATTCTGTTGCATAGACAGCTCATGGCACGATTCCTAACTTCAATGAGATCTCAGCTCAAAGTTCATTCTAGTCATTTGTTCATTCCAAATCGCAGGCACTGTTTTAGGCACCAGAAGTGCAACAAAATAAAGTCCCTGTTCTTGTGGAGCAGAGAAAAACAGTAAAATAAACAAGGACAAGTAACTCTGAATAGTACTACGAAGAAAACAAAAGCATGATTAAGAGGCCAGACTGAGGGACACTTTACATTTGACAAGGTGCACCGGGAGGGTCTTTCAGAAAAGATCGACTTATTTTTTGCTCCACTGCTAAACAAATGTGTGGCCGGTGGAGGCTGTTCACCTTGCTGAAGTTTTCTTGTCTGTAAGAGTTGAAGATTTGGGGTGATTATGTAAGTGGCAGGGTTGGTAAATCTTAATCCTTGGCAAATGTGAGTGATTTCAGAGTGCCATGCAGGAAAGAGAAAATCAGGAGAGGAACGCAGGACAGACTCGAGTCCAACTGGGAAGCAACCTCCAATTAGTGCTGTAGGAAACGGCCTTGGTTGCTGCAGAGGCTTCTAGGAGAGCCTGGGATTGAAATGGAGAAAGAAGGCTTCTTTGTGGGCGGCGATTCTAGCGATTTGGATAGTCCCAGAGCGGGGAGGAAGGAACAAAGCCAGCTCTCTCCTGGTCTGGGTCTCCCAGAGTAACTCCAAGTTGGAGTTCTAGATAGAAACACCCGTAGTTTTCCGTCACTGGGATCCTGTCAATCTCTTAAGCGTACCAATCGGCGTATATTTATAGCGGAAACGAGACCTCCCTGACCAATGACAGGAGCCGTATGGCGGAAGAGCCGAATGGTCTCCTAGGCCGACTGCAGCCTAGGTCCGGTCACAAGTTGATTGGCAGGTGCTGCCACCAGAAAGTGAACATTGTAGCGCCAGCGGCGGATCGGAGGCGGAAGCCCAAAAGAGCGCTGCCCTGAGCTCAGGAAGGTGTCGAAGGCACAGATACAGCTCTCTACAGGGCAGGCGGCGGAAAGGGTAGCTCCTGAGGAGACCGTCGCGTCAGGCGCAGTCTGGCCCGAGGAAGGGGGCGGGACCCCGGGCTACCGGAAGGGGCGAGTCCTGGTGGAGCGGGGCTTCTGGGGCCCGACCTAGAGACTTGACGGGAGTTGGGAGCCGCAAGGGGCGGGGTTAACCGGGTGGGCGTGGCTATCCAGGTGGGGCTTGGGGCAGGGCCAGAAGGGAAGGGACGCAGCTGAAAAGGGCAGGGTTTCGGAGGCCAGGGCCTGGTCTGCGGGAACCTCATCTGGTAGAGTTCTAAGGCGACGGTGGCGGCGGCGGCGGCGGCGTCATCATCAGTCCATGACGGCCCCACGAGCTCATCCATTCCCTTTCGCCCCTCCCGCCTCCCAGCTCTAGACTCCAGGCCCTGTGTCCCGAGCTCAGCCCTCCGATGTCCCACCGCCCAGAGCCTGCATGCGCCGCAGGGCGCCCCAAGACCAGGAGCTGGTGGGTCCAGGAGCTCCTGGGCGGGGGTCCCGGGGCGCCCCTCCTCCCTCGGGACCTGTTGTCCCGGTCCTCGTATTTCCACCGGATCTAGTATTCAGGGCGGACCAACGGAGCGGACCAAGGCAGCTGCTGACCCTCTATAACCCCACGGGAGCTGCGCTTCGCTTCCGAGGTGAAGGGATGGGCGCCTCATGCTAGGGGTCTGGGGGATGGTGGCAGGATATTGGGGGCCTGTGTGGGCTGGAGGATGAGTATGGTCAGATGTTCATCCCTGGTGAACTGGAAGGCTCATGTCGAGCCCTGGGGGTAGAAGGCAAGGGGACTCTAGTGTCCCTTCGTGGGAAAGGCTTGTGTAGGGTCTCTGAGGCAATAGTCTGTCTGTGCCTTTATCCCCCAGTCCTGTGCACAGCACCTGCCAAATACACAGTGTTTGACGCAGAAGGATACGTGAAACCTCAGTCCTGCATTGACATGTGAGTTGGGAGGGTGGGGAAGCCAGAGGCTGCTGCTACCTTTCTCTGAATAACGGAGCGGTGGTCTAAGGTCTCAGACCTGGTCCTCTTTAACTCTTTTCCCCCCACACTCTGTCTGCAGCGCTATGGGAAAGTTTCCTGGGAGGGTGGGGCCTGGATCCACTTGGATCACTGCCTCTCACTTCCTCTCAATGGCCCTCTCTTCTATCTTGGGACCAGTGTGATTCGCCACGTGGCCCCCATTGCCAGCCACTATGATGTCCAGGACCGCTTCCGCATTGAGCTGTCTGAGGAGGGAGCTGAGGGCCGAGTGGTGGGGCGCAAGGACATCACCTCGGTTCTGAGGGCTCCAGCCTACCCCCTTGAACTTCAGGGACAGCCTGACCCAATGCCCAACCCAGGGCCTCCTTCCTGGACAGCACCACCCACGGCCAGACACCCCCCTGAGAGTGAGTTGGGGGATGGGAATTCTTGAGTTCTGTAGGGAGGGGAGACCTAGCATTATCCTAGAGATGACCTTAGTTGGAGTTGCAGAGGTCTTCTGATTTAGTCTTTTGCTTTTTGATGGAAACATTCCTAAGAGTTGAGATTTTATATCAGGTTAGGGAATAAGCAGATTTTGCAGTTTCCCTGGTTTCTGGCTTCTACTTAGATGGAAAAGTTCTTCCTTAGCTTTAACTTCAGCACATTCTATCATATGCCAGCTCAGTTCAGTTCCATAAGAAACCTGTACTGAGCAATTATGCCACACCAAGTTGTATACTGGCTCTGGAAGATGGAGTTTCCTGCCTGACAGACATGTACACAGAAGCCGTATCAGGAAGAATGAAGAGAAGAAAAAATGCTGAGGGACCAGAGGGGAGAGGGTTTCTGTGGCTGTGGAGACAGAGGCTCCCGGGAGGAGAGGCCACTTGCAGTGTTTTCCTGGAGAGGAATAAAAAGTGTCCACACCTTCCATCTTTAGCCTCTTCCCTGGAGGACATTGGGTCGGGAGGAGTTGGGGCTGGATCTTCTGACAAGCCTTGTTTCCCAGAATCCCACCCACAACTGGCCACCAGCTCCTTCCTCCTCTTCTTGCTGACGGGTTTAGTCTCTGTGGCCTTCCTGCTGCTCCCGCTCCAGGATGAACTCGGCAGCCAGCTGCCCCAAATCCTGCACGTCTCCCTGGGACAAAAATTGGTGGCAGCCTATATCTTGGGTAAGCAGAGTAGTGGTGAGGGAATCTGGGCCCCGGAGAAAGAGGGGTGGGGACTGGGAAAAGGGCTTCCAGCGCTCCAGGGCTGCTCATACAACCTTGCTCTTTCTTTCTTCCCTCTTCAGGCCTCCTCACCATGGTCTTCCTCCGGACCTGAGTCCCCTGCTCAACCTCCACCCCTCTCCCCGGGCAGAGATGTGGGCGGGAGACAGCCACTGTGATGCTCATACCTTGCCTCAACTCCTACTCCCTTCTTGCCACTCCTTCCACCCCCGACAAAAAATACCCAGGGATTTGTATTCATTTTCCAAGTTTAATAAAATAAATTTGCAAGATTAAACTGAGAAATGTAGGGAACATGCCCTTTCCTCTTCACTTCTTTTCCTCCTACTCCCATTCCCAGGAGAACCGGGGCCAGCGAAGAAGCCCAATGAGGATTTAAAACATCTAGGTTCTTGTGCTGAGGCTGCACCAAAAAAACTGTGACTTGAGCAAGTCCTTTAATTTCTCTGAGCTTCAGTTTCTACTTGCTAAATGAAGGAATTGGGAAAGTTGGTTCTTTACCTCTTCACCTCCCCCGACCCCTGCATCTTTGGCAACATCAGCTTATTCTCTGCATCTAATGGGTCTGTTTCTGTTTTGTTTTATTTATTCATTTGTTTTGATTTTTAGATTCCACATATAAGTGAAATACAGTATTTGTCTTTGTCTTTAACTTATTTCACTTAGCATGATGCCTTCTGTGTCCATCCATGTTGTCACGAATGGCAAGGTTTCATTCTTTCACGACTAACACTCCAATGTGTGTGGGGGGTGTGTGCATGCACACGCACATGTGTGTGACATCTTCATCCATCTATTGATGGACACCTAGGTTACTTCCATATCTTAGCTGTTGTAAAGAATGCTGCAATGAATGTAGCAGTACATATATCTTTTCAAATTATTGTTTTTAAAAAAAATGTATTTTCAGAGAGAAGGAAAGGGAGAGAGAAAGAGACAGAGAAAAACATTGATTGATTGCTTCTTGCAGGCCCCCAACTTGGGAACTGGCCTGCAACCCAGGCATATGCCCTGACCAGGATTTCAACCTGTGATCTTTCAGTTTGTAGGCCAGTGCTCAATCCATTGAGCCACACCAACTGGGTTATTGTTTTTCTTTTTTTAAATAAATACTCAGAAGTGGCATTGCTGGGTCATATGGGACTTCTATTTTTAATTTTTTGAGGAATCTTCATACTTTTCACATAGCAGCTATACCAATTTACAATCTCAGGGACAGTTGATTCTTAAGATCCCCTTTAGCCCTAGAAAATAGGATCCTGTCCCTATGCCAACATATCTAAGCTAAAAAGAAACAATCAAAAATATCACCTGCTTTAGAACTCAAGTCTCACTATCTTGAGCCATTGGAGCCTCTTGCCAGGGCTTCTTGAATACTTCCAATTCCCAGAATCCCCTTCTGTCTTTTTATTCCTTTACCTGCTTTTATTTTGTCTCTTCCTTTGACTTCAACTCATGTGGGTCAGAAACACCAAGTTTTCTGAAGATGGGGGAAATAGCATTCCCTGACATTAACTTAGCCAGGCAGGAGACATGAAGGCACAGTAAAAGAACAGGATCCTCGAAAGGCAGGCTTCAAGCCCTCCTTCAGATGGGGGGGGGGGGGGGGGGGAACAGGCATCCAGTAACACTGGCAGATTGTTGATTGGAGACAAAAATCAACAAGATAAGAGAGACTCAGTCAGTTATGCTGCTGGAAGATTATCAGTTGTTCCAGCTTTACTCTGGAGGGCCTTGGGAGCTCTCCCACTGCCCAGGGAGTCGTTCCTCGCACACCTAGAGCTGGCCCCGGTGGGGTTGGCCCTGCTAGTGTGCAGAGAATGGCTCTACAGCCTGTGTCAGGAAGTATGAGAGGGTTCTCGCCATGGCCCAGCGAAGCCCTCACCATTCATACTGGGCTGGATGTGCCCAGGTTCCCCAAATGGATTTTAGGTATCATACACTAATGATCTTGCTGGTATTTGATGTGATAAAGCCTGTTGTCAGTGGGATCAGGAAGGCTTTCTGGGACACAACTATAGGAATGGGAGGAGCTGGGGAAACAGACTTTTATTTAAGCAAGTTTTTCAAAGATTTCATTTATTTTTAGAGAGAAGGGTAGGGAGAAAGAGAGGGAGAGAAACATCAGTGTGTGGTTGCCTCTCATGCGCCCCCTACTGGAGACCTGTATGCAGGCATGTGCCCTGTTTGGGAATCCAATTAGCCACTCTGCAGGATGGCGCTCAATCCACTGAGCCACACCAGCCAGAGCTATTTAAGCATTTTATTATTATTATTATTATTATTATTATTATTATTATTATTAAAGAAATCAGTACTTGCAGAAGTATTAGTGTGTATTAGTTTTCTGTAGCTATTCCAGGAATTTACCACTAATTTAGTGGCTTAAAACAACAGAAATTAATTCTATAGTTCGGGGAGCCTGAAAGCCAAAATGCGTCTTCTGAGGATAAAAATCAGTGTCAGCAGGGCTGCCTTCCTTCTGGAGGCACCAGAGCAGAATGTTCCCTTGCTGCTTCTAGCTTTTAGAGGCCATTTGCATTCCTTGGCTTGTGGTCCCTTCCTCCATCTTTCAAGCCAGGAGTGGAAATAACAAGTGATCATTGTTTAAAAATCACTTGAAAAAAAAAAGCTAGGAATGTAGCATTTTTAAATCTCTGGTGCAGACCCTCTGCTTCTGTTGTCCTATCTACTTTCTCATCTGTGACCTTCCTACCTTCTTTTATAAGGACCCTCCTTGTGTTAGTTTGCCAGGGCTGCCACAGACCGAGTGGCTTAAACAACAGAAATTTATTTCTTCACAGTTCTAGAGGCTGTAAGTCCAAAATGAAGGGATTGGCAGATTTAGTTTCTTCTGAAGCCTCTCTCCTTGACTTGCAGACAACTGCCTTCTTGCTGTGTCCTCCCAATGTCTTCCCTCTGTGCATGTACATCCCTGGTGTTTCTCTCAGTTTTCCCTTCTTATAAAGAAACTAGTCAGATTGGAGTAGGGCCCATCTTAATGGCCTCATTTTAACTTAATTACCTCTTAAAAGTCCCTGTTTCGAAATACGAACACATTCTGAGGCACCAGGGGTTAGAGATTCAACATATGGGTTGGGGGGGGCATATAATTCAGCCCATAATATTTCCCATCTCAAGATCTTCAACTTAATCACATCTGCAAAATTCTTTTTGTTGTGTAAGGTAACATTCAGTTTTGGGGGATTAGGACATGGACCGCTTTGTCCAGACCACTATTCTATCTACTACTGGGTGCAAATGGACAAGGTGAGGAATGCTGAGAAGCCGCTTTAGGTTTCTTCTGGACTGTGTGTCAGGGAAGCAAACAGCCGAGGAGGATTCTGATTCCAGTTCAGTCTCCTGAGATCTCACCAAACCAGGCTCAGGGAGCTTAGCAAGGGGCAGTTTCATCCTGGAACCCAAGACATAGACTAGGAGATCTTTATGTCCCACATCCTGAGGATGTAGATAGGACTTCTCATGACGGGAATAAGAGAGACTCACGTCATACCGGGAGTAAGAGAGGACTAAGGAGCCTCAGAGGCAGGCCCTGGGATTTCTGCAGCTGCCCTGGGAGTGAGAGCCAGGGCCACAGCCTGCTGAGACCAAGATGAAAGGTAAAGTAGTGCCAGCAACACCTTAATTCTCTGCCTTCCTGCAGCTTCCAGCTCACAGGACAAAGATTGGCTGAGGGGGACCCCGGCAGAGAGAGGTGCCAGGCTGGGCCAATCTAATGGGTGTTTGAGCACCACAGCCTCCCAAGGCCCCATGCTCAGAAGGGGTTCCTGTGTTTGGGATTAATGCTCCATGGTCACTGTCTTGAAATTCTTAATGATTCTACCTTTGAATTTATGTTTTGAAGTGCAGTCTGATGGGACAGGGGAGCATTTGCTACAGTCCTGCCTCCCCTGGGTGGGTTCTTGACTTCTAGATCCCTGCCCCCACCGAGTGACAGTTGCCACCCCCCTTCCCCAGCAGGAACCTGGGTGCAGGCACAGGGAGGGTCCAGGTCTAGGTCAGGATCGAGAACATCTGTACCAAGTTGTGGGGCAGAACCCAGAGTGCCTACGGGGATCTGCCTCAGAGTATTTCCCTGTCTGAGGGATATGGACATTAAATAGCAAATACAAAACCACTATGACAAGTTAGGTAACTGTGGAAGAAAATGGCTTTGTTGTTGCTTTTGAAACCAGAAGCCCTGCATTTTTGTTTTGCACCAGACCTTACAACATGTGTAGCCTGTCCCTGGTCCCAGGAGAAGGTACAGAGCCAGCCCCCCATTCCATGGTGGTTTGGAGAAAGGGTGCTCCTGATTTCCTTAGACAGTTTCTTTCCTTAATAACGAAACATCTCAGGGTTTTTCCCATGGAGACAGCATTCCAATGTGCATCCTCTCTGGCCCCTTCTCCTTAAGACCTATGGAAGGTCTTTAGTATTGGATGACGGGGTGGGACGAGGGCAAAGAAGCATAAAGGTGCTTATAAACAACACATGCCCAGGTGGTTTATTGAAGCTTAAACTCCAGCCCCTCTTACCAAAGACCATGTGTTGGCCATAAGGCATCGTTCCAGCCATCTCTCCTACCAAGAGAGCTTCCCAGGGCCTAGAAAACTTGCCAGAGTGGTCTCTAGGTGTGGGGGACCCAGCTCCTTAAGAAGAAGGGGCTGTGATTGACGGAGCGGATGCTGCCATCTGATTAGCTGTATGACCATCCCTTTTGGAAGGCACTGCTCACCTACTCCTACACTGTTGAGCCAAGGGTGTGCGGCTATTTTACTCTGGACCCCTAGGGACACGGAAAGGGCTAATGAGAAATCGGTCAGCAAGGAGGGGTGTTGCACAGTCACCCAGAAATTGCTCAAGTGAGAAGAGCAGGAGCTCTTGGCCTGGGGCAAAAGCGTATGACCCTCCCCCCTCAGAAGTTGTTATCTATGTTCCAGACATCCCCGCTGAGTGCGTTGGCAGCCCCCTGCAGCGTCCAGGTGAGCAGGGCCAGCTGGCGCCTAAAGCGACTTTCCTGGAAGCCCAGGCCAGGCATCACCCCAGAGGGGGCTGCCCCCGGGGACCCAGAACCGCTGGAGCGCAGCAGCCGCACGTGGTCGAGCAGGGCACCCAGTGTGTGATCTCCGCGGCCCAGGAGAATGTGGCGGAACGGGGAGTCGGCTGGTGACACATACTGGGACAGGAAGTAGAACTCCACCTGAGCAGAGAGGGCGATCAGGTCGAAGGTCAGGCTTTGGCCCTGAGTGAAGGCCTGAACAACAATTCCAAACCAATACTGG